TAAAATGGCCAGATTATATCACATTACATACCCCATCCACACTCGTCCAAGATAACAAAAACAAAATGGAAAGATAAGAGCTAAACACAGCAGAGCTCTAGGCATGCAATGACTGGTGAAGTAACATCTACTGTGAAGTCAGCAGAGATTTGCTGGGCTTGCAAATAGAAATGATTATAATTCCCAGAAGAATTATCTAAGACCAGCTCTGTGAAACAAAGTGTGCTATTGGATGTCCGATTAAATGAAAAAAAGATTTCCCATAGGCAACCTTAGGGGCATGTAACATTTGCTCTCAATCATAAGAATTGATAGTGAAAATGCAGCCCATGAGGAGCATGAGCACTGAGCGTGTCATAACACACCATTTGGCTATTTGAAAAACAGCGAATACATAAATCAGTGTCCAAAAAATTGAGTAAAACAGGCAGTATATGGACAAGAAACCTGCAGGTAGCTCTGTGGCTCCGGCACTAATTTGTCCACCAAGAGCTCAATTTATTCATAATTCATTAAAAGTTAACACTTAAAGTCAATTAGAAGCATTTCAAAGCCTTAAATCAGATCATTTGATAATGTATGCATCTGTCTTGTTTTTCAGTAAATTAACCCACTGTTATTTAATAAGATTTTAGATTTAGTATTTATTTTCACTTAAGTTTTTTCCAAACATTGATTTGAAACAATTAATACATAAGTAGTTTTAAATGTGCAATATTAGGTAGAGAAAATTAATTTGAAATTTCATGTGGCATTTTTGTCCAGTAGTTATGAATACATGTTTGAGAACGAAAAACGAGTGGCTCATTTATCCAGTCAAAAATTCACTATGCATTATTCACTATGTGCCATAGAACTGTATGCAAAATTACATGATGGGCTGTGGCGATACAGAAACAAAAGTGATACATTCCTTATTGTCTTGTTTACAGTGTGTGGGGGAAACGGTGACAGAAAATTAATACATAAGAAAAGCTAAACTGGAACAAATAATTGTGAGGGATCAATGGAAAGATTTCTGTAGGCGAACCAGAGGAACGACAAAGTTTTTAGAAGATGAACTTGAAATACAAAGTACTGAAAGGACCAGGAAGGGGGTGGGTGGGTGGTGGAATTGATTTTGCTTTTGAAAGTCACACTGTAGTGGAAATTTTTTAACTGAAGCCTAAGCATTAAATAAGCCATTTTAAGCCAGGGGTACAGGTGAGACTGCCTATAGGCAGATCCAGGTTAGGCCCTGATGGACTTAGGTAGAACCTATACTCATTCACAAGATTGCTTCAGGAGTGAATCCATGGCGGGTAAGAATTCCAGGAGCGGGAAACAATGGCTTCTGCTATCCTTGACTTTCATAACAAAGGTTTTTTTTTCTTTTTAAACCTGGACAAGGAGGGAACAGTGACATCCCAGGAGATGTTGGCAGCTATCTTCCACCAATGAGAAACAGGAATTAGCACTGAAGAGGTGAAGTACAAAAATGGAAAGAACTAAGCGCTAGTCATATCATAGACCCCTGAATCAAGTTATGCTTCATGGTTATGGCAAATTCCTTTTATTGTAAACAGCTTCCGTTATGTAATCTATATGTATCTTGAAACCAAGAGTTGTAACTTATCTATTTAAAAAGTAATACAAGTGTAAGCTAGGAGAATACATTTTCATGAAACCCACCCTTTCAACATAACAAGCATGTTCAGTATCAACATAAATACCTCAAATGATGGAAAATATCCAACATTATTTATAGAGTTGTAACACAAAACAACTCTTTCTCGAGCAAGTCTAGATGTAAATACTTGGTAAATAAAATGAGAATTTAACCTACCATTCCCTAGTGGGGTGCAATACTCCCACTTTCACATCATTTTGTCTACTGTAAGAGCAGAGAATCTGAGAAAAATGAATACACATTAGAATAAGCTAGGGATAAAGCTCTACAGAGACTTTTTAAATAAGAAGCACAATGAAAGAAAGTTACTTGATGTCAAATGTCAGACTCTGAAGATCAAATGAGAATTGAAGAAGGTGGTAACTTTTATTTTTAACTTTTACTATTTCCCCAGTTTTGATTCTAAAGATGTACAGTATCTGTGTGTACAGGGATCGCTGGGCATGGTGGCCATGCCTGAAACCCCAGCACTCTGACTGAGGCAGGAGGATCACAAGATGGAGATCAACCTAAGCAACTGAGTTACTTGGCAAGACCCTCTCTCAAAATAAAAATTTTTTAAAGGGGTGGGGATGTAGCTAAGTGGTAAGGCCCTGGGTTCAATCTCCAGTATCAAAAAAAAAAAAAGGTATAAAGTGATCACACGCAAATAGTTCAAAAGAGCACTGCATTCTCAGCCGTACTACTTAGAGGCCTTGGGTAACCAGAATGATTGAATAGAGTAAAACTGATCTGCTTCGCTAGCCTATAAACCACATGTACATCTTTTTTACATTACTTTTTTTAAATTTTAAAATAATTATGGATGCTCAGCAAGTCATAAATGTGGTAGAGAGAGCTGTATACCCTTCACCCAGTTTCCCCCTAGGCTTACATCTTACAGACCTCCACTACAATATGAAAAACGGTAATTTGATATTGGAACAATGCATGTATGGTTCTATGACAACACATGAGTTTAAATTTGTGTAACCATCATGATTAAGATACAGAACTATTCCTTTACTACAAAAATCTCCTTTGTTCAATTCCTGTACAGTCACTTCTGCACTCTCATTCCCATCAGTTTTGCGTAACAATTACTCTTCCTAGATGAGATGGCTCTTTTCATTTTCTATTTAAATCTTGTCTATTCCATTTCTGTAAAATGCTGTCCTCATCTTTTGATGTCACAGCCTTCCAGTGGACCCTGGTCCTCAATTTCAAAAATAATGCAGTGAACTGAAACTTCCAAACTCATTTCCTCTGAAATATGGTGGAACGGTGGGGCTGACTTGTGAATCATCTCTTCTACCTAATTCTTCATTTTTGGTGATTTCAAATTTCATCCCATCTTTCCATAGCTTTCCCTAAATTCTCTCCTTTGAGTGCCAGATTTTTAAACTCTAGAACATTAACAGTCTTCAGATCCTAATTTAAGATTCCAGAAAAAGGAAACATTTGCAAAATAAGAATCCAACTTATTGAGATTTCTAAGGGACCAATGGGATTGTTGCAATCATGAGAAAATCATAACATGACTACAGGGTTGCATGGTAAATGAGGGTACTATAAAAAGGGTTCTGATGGTCTATGATTGCTTAATAATTCTTTCATACCACTGAAGGCCCTACTTTTGCCCTCAAAGATCAAGTCTTCCTCTTAATTCTTCCTATGGAAGAAAACAATCATCCTTCTCATAAAACCCAGACTGGGGGCTGTGGGTGGGAATATTGTTAATTTAATTCTAACACTGGAAATTACTTCTTGGGCCTATGCTAATTTTCTCAAATTCAATTTTTTGAAGGCATCAGGGTAACTTTCATCTTTCAGACAGGTAATACAACTTTAGTTTTCATTCTGCAAAAACTCAGCAACATGGTAACTTTTTGTTTTCGGTGTGCGACTTTATTTTGGCTTTCAAGCTAGGATGGGCCAAAGAGTCCAGGCACCAAGGCTGTGCTTACAACTTTATTCCTAAAACATGTTATAGAATGAGTCCTAGGAACAAAGGAGGTTAAGACTAGGAAGATATTTATTGATAGGAAGGCTCATAAGGGGCTGGAGAGGTAGCTTTCCTCTGAGTGGGTAGCTGGGGATCCCACTTTACAGAGGAATTTTATTGGGCAAAACCCACTTGGGTAAAACCGGGCGGCGGGGGGCTACAGCCATGGACATCCAATAAGGTTACAAGTAGAGTTACTTGGGTAATAGTGGTCCAATTGGAAACAAGTCATATAACAAGCGTGGATGGAAAGAACAAAGACTTCTCCTAGGAGGTGGTGGGTCCAGAGGTCTCTGGTCACCCACTGGGGTGGCTGATGTCTACCTAGACTTCTTTAGGCCCAGTGTTTGTTCCTTGAACATGTACGGAGGTCTGGTCATCTTGTCTTTGAGGCCTGGTTTTCAGCCGTGTGTCTCCGCTGCAGCTGTAGTGTTTCACCTTTGTCCTGACCCTCTTGAGGACCTAGCCCTGTCTGCATATATATATATATATATATACATATATATATATACACACACACACATACATATTTTTTTTTTACTTTTGGTACCGGGGATCGAATTCGGGTCCTTGCGCTTGCGCAGCAGGCGGCAAAACCACTGAGCTAAATCCCCGGCCCCTTGCCTATATTTCTACCTAACTCATCTATAGTATTACCTGTGAATACTCAGCCATTTCTGAATAGGCCCAAGGTGGTAAGACACCCTAGCTTCTAGGATTTTAACAGTTGTGGCAATTATGATCTAGTCTAGCATGACATGGGAAAAGAATGTCCCCCTTCATCTCAGAACAAAATAGAATCAGGGATTTAGCTCAGTGGCACCGCATCTGCCTCAAAAGTTCAAGGTTCTAAGTTTGATCCCCAGTACAAAAAAAAAAAAAAAAAATCACTTAGAATCTGGTAGACACAGGGAGACTGAAAGTTCTTCCGGACACCCATCTCATTGGCAGCCTTAATTCATTTATGCCAAAGACTGAATTTTTAAAACTTTTTACGTGAAATTCATGCTACTTAAGATTCAAGAAATAATTTGAAGAGAGCACATTTCATTATGGTCTCCGTTGTTATGAGCGTTCCAAAAATGGATCATTAGTCATTTAAGAGTTAAAAGTTGATTTTAAACGGAGCATGGTGGTACACATCTGTTATCCCAGCACGGTGGGAGGCTGAGGCAGGAGGATCGCAAACCCGAGCCTGAACCGGGCAATTTAGTGACTTAGTGAAACACCGTCTCGAAAATAGTGAAAAAAGGCTGGGGATGCGGCCCAGTGCGGCGGCCAGAGCCACCAAACACAAAGAAAAAACATTTTGCTTCCGCAGAAGGGCCTGGGTAGCGGAGCCGCGGGATGGGCCCAGGCCTCACCCTCGCCGAGCCCCGAGCGCGCACGGCGCACCGCGCACCGGGCCTCGCGTCCCCGCCCCGCACAGGCGGCGCCATGGCGGCCGCGCGGATCCGGGCGCTGGCGGGCGCCGCGCTCCACAGGACAGCTCTCTCCGCCCAGCGGCCGCGGCCTCTCCGCGTCGCTACGGGGTCGCGGCAGCAGCAGCGCGGCTTAACGCTGGGCGCGGCCTCCCGGGGAGGGCGCAGCGGCTCCACGCCCGGCCCGCAGGAGCCACCCAAAAGCGCAGCAGGGCGCGCGGCCAGCGAGGGGTTAACGTCGGCGGAGCGGCGGATCGCGGAGCTGCATGCGGCGGCCAGCGCGGTGAGGCCCCGCCCACCCAGGGCCGCTCCGAGTGCGCCTGCGCGGACGGACCCGGCGCCCGGCCACGCCCCGCAGAGGGCTGGGAGCAGCGCGGTCCCGCTGGGGCTCGGTTCGCTGGCGTCCCGGCCGCGGCCGCACGTCGGACAAAGGGCTGACGGGGTGTCGGTCCTCGGTGAGAGTGGGGCGCGTTTTCTGATCAGCTGTCGCAGCGTGGGACCGGCCACCGCCCGTGCGTGTGCGTGCGTGTGTGGTGGGGGTGGAATTGAGGAATTGAGGGAGGTGGAAGAACTTGGGAGTCTTAGGGAAAATGTATTGCACACATACGATGTCCCTGCATTATCACTTAAACACTTTGCTAGCCAGTGGTTTTAATACGGAAAAAAAAGATGAACATATTCGTTTTAATTTTTGCTACCTCCCTCTCGTTCTTGCTGCACTCCGAGGAGCAGAGGAAACAGGTCAGGAGTCTCCTTCTTCCTAGACTCTGGTGCTGTTTTCTTCTGTTTTGTGGATTTGACAGTTGTTTCCAGCAGCCTCTAAACTTATGTCTCCCAGCACTTAAGACGTGAGTTTGAAGGTAGCATATTTATATTTTTATAACCTTTACGAAAGAAACAATGGGATAAAAGGAAAAATGGTTCTATAATAAGATAGACAAATGATATGAAATGAATTTATTTAATAATCTGCCTGGGCATGTGACCAGAGATTCGTAAGACTAGTGTTATATGGTGTCGCTTCAGAAGAAAACTTTGGAGTTTGCCAAAACTTAACTGTTTTTATTGGTAATTAGAAGACCATGAGAATCCACTCTGTGACCCATTCAAGTGTTGAAATTGAGTAACAGTTCATCAAAATAACTGACAACTTTCGATTTTTTTCTCCCCCTGTAATGGGGATTGAATCCAGAGCCTGTTCACTGAGCTACATCTTCAGCGCCCCCCCCCCTTAATTTTGAGACAGGATCTCCCCCTAAGTCGCTGAGTTGCCTAGTCTGGGCTCGAACACCTCCCAGAGAGGATTTTACACTGGGCTTGATCTTGTTTATACGCTGCCTTTAAAAAATAACGTGTAATTTGTTGCCACACTTAACCATATAAAAATGGTGAAAATAAGCCAAAAGTTTCATTGTTTTTAGAGCAAACACCAGCAGCGTGTAAAAACAGGATCAATCAGCAGGAAGAAAGAAATGAACTTTTTCTTACTCAGGAAATCCACAGTTGTTTCATCAGTGTCAGTATTGTAGGTTAAATAACTTTAAGGAGACCATAAATAGGCACAAAGAGAAGCTGATGGTTCTCTTTATTCAACCAGAGCTTCCTTCTTCCACACCTCAAGGCAGAGAGCTCTCCTAACTTCTCTTCCTGCACAGAGGTGCATCGCTGAATATCTTGCTCTCCAGTCGACCTGTCAGCACGACCCATCTTTGTTGCCACCATTGTGTGGGCCTCATTTGTGTGGGTATAGGTCTGTGTGAGCAGCCAACAAGCTCAGAGGTTCTAGATGGAAAAAAGCAAAGCTGGAGAGTGGACACGCATGCGTAGGTGCAGGCTGTTCGGCTTCCAGTTGGGGACATAATTCCCATCCTCATCATCCAGAAACTTGGACAAGTGAAAGAAGGCTGCTGTGAAGTTCTCAATGTTTGTTTTCCTCCCAAGTTTCTAAGCACGAACTATTTGAAGAAAGAAGTGAAGGTCCTCTAACGTGTTTAGTGCGCCCGGTCTCCTGTGATCTGTTCCTGTGGTCCCAAAGGGTTTGGGAGGCTCCTGGAACCAGCCTGGAGACTTGCTGGGGTCCCACTTCCTTGATCTAGCTTTGCTGGGATGCCTTAGCATGAACCTGGACATGAACTTTGAATTTTACCAGTTCTTTTTTTCTTTTTTAACACTTTCTTCACAATATATAGTTGGTATTCGGCCATTAAATAAGACGCTAATCAACTAACAGGCTTTTCATGACTCATTAAAATGCATGTCAGCATACACACTAGTTTAATGTATAGTTTAATGTATACTTTATTGAGAGGTTCTATACAAGAGTATATGGTAAAAACATTATTTTTTAAAAGCCCATGGGAAGGTTCCCCTACAAAATATCAAGACTAATATCACCTAAATGTCTCAGATCCACGGAAATTATTTACTTTTTACCTTTACACAAAGTATTTGAAATGCCTTTTTTTAAACCATGTTTGAATATAGGTAGAACAATGCTTCCTTGAGATTTAAAGGGCTATACTAGAAGTTGCTTTTGATGAAACTTTGTGAAAGCAGTGATTCTTAATATGTTAAAACTACTTTTTTTTTACTTAAAAGAATTAAAAACACTCTTAGAAAAAGAAACTAGTACAAAACATGCAATAGAGTAACATCATGAAGGTGAAGTGTTTAATAATGGCAGAGGTAATATTTTTTTGTAAGGACTGTTGGTTTTGATTAGCACCTTTTCTGTAAGTCTAAAGCATTATCCGCATATTTTAAGTACTGAAATTGCAACTGCAACTTCTGAGTGAAAGTTCATTTTCAGCCTCTTAAGCTCTTAAAATCATCTAAATCACCTGTTATTAAGCTTGTTACTTAGAAACTGAATGAAAAATATCAGAGCAGTCACTACATAGTTAGCGAATATAGAGGAGTTCTTGTTTTTCCATCAACTTCTCATTTTCTCAGCTTATGTATTTTCTCCTTTAGTCACATAAAGTTGGATCAGAGTATATGTTGGAATGCATTCAGTCTTTCATTGAAAATGCCATGAAAATTGCTGGGAAGAAGTTTAATATTTTTTTACAGTACTCTAGGAGTAGAAATTATGTTGAGGAGATATGATGAACATTGAGATTAGTGATTTTATTTTATTTTATTACCTTTCAGGCTGGCCAGTTAAACTGCGTAGATCCGGCTACTGGATACGTGGTGCTCACAAGGCTGGCCCACTTGCAGAGAGGCGCCTGCTGTGGCTCCGCCTGCAGACACGTGAGTAACAATCCACCTTATAACAGCAGTTTGTGTTTGCGGGCTTCTATAACTTCATAAATACCTATTATTTGAACAACAAGTCAAATAAAAAAGCTAAATAGACCGGGAGTGCACTTTTCACAAGCTCCTTTAGCCAAGGACAATGAAGTCCTTAGTAGCAACATAGGACCTTTAAAGTTAATGGAATTTGGTAATGTTTCATTGTAAGCATCAGTCCCTAAAAATGCTGTGACTTGAAATTCACGGGAGCTCTTTATTACAAGAAAACTTTTCATGAGGTTCCAAATAAGTTACATTCACTAGGCAAGTACAAAGAAGGCAGGAAATGAAATTAAGAATGTTGCAAACTAGATCCCAAGAAGCATTTTCTGCATTATTAGCTGGATAAATGGAAATTAGCCCAGCATTAACAGGTGGGTTGCCTTCAAATGATAAAGATTTCTTTCTTCCTTTCCCTTCCTTCCTTCCTTTCCCTCCCCCTTCTCTCTTTCTTGCCTTTTTCTAGTTCTCTGTTTAAAAGAACTGTGAAGTAAATTTCCCCAAATTTAATACTATACATTTCCTAATATTTTATGTCACTAGATATTATCTCTATGTTTACTGATTAAGATAAACTACCCTGTACCCTTCTTGTCCTATTTTGAACAAAGAAATACGAATGGTTGCTTTTACTATTAAAAAACAACATTAAGGTAAAACTGTGATAGGGTTAAGATCATAAACCAATAAGCTGTTTACAGAACATTTTATATGGTTTGTTGCCAGGAAGCATTACTTCCTTTAACTGAACTGCTTCTTAATTAAAGAATAGACACTAAGTGTATGTATTGACTGTAGCCTGTGTTGAAAAATTCAGCTTCCACTTTTATGTATGGTCCTACTTGTTCTATTAATGCTCTTTCTAATCAAGTGTGCAACAGCTTTGTGTAAATTGAGGATTTGGGGTTTTCTGAGTGGATATTTGACAGTAAAATTCTTAAAGTTGGGAGGATCCATTTAGGAAATGGTTCTTGAACCCTAATTAGGACCATTTGCTAAAGGTTGCCATTCTTCAAATGATCCATATAATGCTCTTAGCAATCTCTTTTTTTTTTTTACCACAAGAAGTGTGCTTTTTCAAGATGATTAAGTAATTTAATAATAGTATGTTTTTTTCTTCTGCAGTGTCCCTATGGTCAAGTCAATGTTAAAGATCCATCTAAAAAGAAGCGATTCAATTCATATTTTTATGTTTGACAACAGTTTTTTTCTTTGCACTCTCACTGAACTTGTACTTAAAAAATAAATCTCTAATTCACAATTTCTCTCTTTGTTCTTTGTATTGGAACACAAGTTTAATCTTAAATACATGTATTAAAAGAACATCAATGGCAAAGCTAACAAATATGTGTTTTAAAGTGCCACAGTGATAATCATTCTTCTTTCTTTTTGCTTCATTATCAGACACGTGGTGAGGAAAGAAAATAATGACCGTTCTATTAAATAAAAGTTGCAATTGGGTCACATGAGTAGCTCTTGAAGTTTTTGAGCCTTGGTTCTCCTACTTTGTTCTTATCAGTGTTAGCAATCTAGGGAGGTTGCTGGCAAACTGGAGTATTTGTTCACATTATTTATGTCTTGAGCTATTAGGAGATTGATACAATGCTATTTTGTGTGGCAAGTGAGTGCCCAAGATGTGCCATCCTCATCAAGGAATGCTCTCATCTTCCATCTGTACTTTTGATAAAAACTTTATATCGTGTTACCTTGGAGGCTAGGCCACTGAAGACACCTCAGTGACCATTCTTTCTTCTTTCCCTCCATTTCCTTTGACACTTGCAAGGCAAATCTGTCTTTGATTATGTCATTAGCTTTACAACCACACTGTTCATTCGGTGGTGATGCCCCCATGAGATGTCAGCCCCCAAGCTGAGTCAGGAGCTCACCAGGACTGTTTTTTCTACACCTTTTCTGTTTCTCCAGGAAGACAGCAGTCCCCAGGACACCCTCTCTTAGGCCGTGGACAGTGTCCAGTGAAATGAGGTTTCTACCTCCTAGGAAAGATGGCCTTGCCCAGGGCTGACCTTCAGCCTTCGCCTGGTGGAATCTGAAAGGTTCTTGAAGACCTCAGTTGCCTCCAAAAGTTGCTGGTGGCCCCCCACCCAGTCCTGCTGGTACCCTAACCATGGTTCCCTAAACAACTCTTCCTGCGGGCCTTATGAGATGTCCGCAACGTCCTTAGAGTCAAAAGAGCCACGTTTTTGACCTGGCATTGTCCTATCCACAAATTCCTTTGCAGAGGGCAGTAGGAGAACGTGGCCGGCACTGTGATTGTGGAGGCAGTTAATCTTTCCAGAAAGGCACAAGGATACAGGCAGGCCTGTCCCCTTTCCATTCTTAGGTCAAGAAGTAGCCAGTTATTTGCACTTTTTCCACTAGATTTGAAGATTAACAAGGCCATTTTCTGAGTGGAGGCTGGATGATGCTTTCTTCAGCAGCCCAAAGAAGAAGAGAAGGAAAGAGCCTGAAAAGGTCATGTTTCTAGAGAATAAGAATTCCAGCCCTCACGAAGGATTCTTACATGGGACACTGGCCATTCTTGGCAGAACATCGGACCTCGCTGTCAAGAGAGCAAAGGAGCCAGTGATCAGGGAGTAGGGCAGGAAGGGATGGAGATGCTCCTACTCCTTCCTGCACCTGGAGCCAGGAGCAGTAGTCTGAAGTTCACAGTGGTTCTGGAGATGAATTTGAACCACACATCAGGGGTGGCAGCCAGACTGTATGCCCTCATTAAACACAATATGGCCACATAAATAGATCTTACTGCAAAAGCTTTCAGCTATATTGTATTCACACGTTGTAAAGTAAAAATGCAGGTTTCTTATTAGGTGTGTGTACACAAACACATGGATGCTGGGAAGTAAGACTTCCTATTTCAATCAACTCGTGGTGCTCTACGTCCAATGTTTCTGGAGACTCCTGGCCCAGAAGCAGTGAATCAAGGGACACTGATTACAACTTTGTTTCCACTATTGAATGGTCCAACAGAACCCGGGGTCACCGGAGCAGGGGCTGGGGATGGGTTCCTGCTGCTGTGCAGTTCTCTCAGCTGGGGAAAGGCCCTGCCCTTCATGGGTCTCCAGCGGGTGGATCCCGGTGCGTACTCTTCAGCGAGCAAGGAAAAGAGGAGCTTTTCGTTTTCTGAGTACAGTTTGTGGCTCCCCAAACTGGGTGCGTTTGGAACCGGGCCAGCCCTGAGAAAGCGAGGTGCTCCGGGGCCTGGAAAGTGTCTTCGTTTCAGCACAGCTTCCCTTCCGAAGAGGCTCTCAAAGTCAGTTTTGAACATACAGTTCTACCGTCAAAAACGCATGAGCTGAGATTCATCCGTAGACAAGGCCGGGAAGGGGGCTCGCTACGCACCGCACCGTAGATCAATGGCAACTGGTGTGTTGACTGCCTAAGCGCACAGCCCCTGGCCAGCCCGCAAGGAGACTTCCCCCCTCCTTGCCAACCCCGTGACTTCATCTCTACATCCCAGCAACGACTTGAGGTTGTGGGCTGACACCTGTCCAGGAAGGTAGAAGATTTACAATCGGTGCCATTCTTTCACTCTCCTGAAACAATTAAGAGGTACTCCCTGATGCTAAAAATATCCTCTCCCTTCAGAAACAAAGAGTCGGATATACAAATGTGTGTGTGCGTGCGTGTGCGTGTTGGAGTGTGTGCCCTACTGAACACCTCTGGAGAACCTGACTTCCAAGAAGAGTCTGTGGAAGAAGGAAGAAGCCTCGGCTGCCTTCAGCCAGAGCCTGGGTTGTCCCTGGAGCCCTCAGTCTACTCCGGACCTCTGGAGCCCGGCGTGTGCCTGCGGGTCGTGTTCATCTGATCCTCATCCCCACAGTTTTGACTTAGGATTCCTGACACCACGCGGGCAGACCTAGGGCCCTCCTTGCTGGACTTAGGGTAGTAAAAGCCGATGCTGACCCGGAGGGTATGGATTCTAGGGAGATCTGAAGATCCCTCACAACCACATCCACCCACCCTAAATTTGTGTAGTAAGGTGTGAATTTAGATGTGCGCTTTGTGTGTGCCCCAAAGTGTGTGTGTGTGTGTGTCTGTATGTGAGCAGAACCATATTATTATCAAATACTTAGAAGAGTCTGTGAGCTAAAGGAGGTTTAAAACCGTTGCTTACACAAGATTGAGCTGTGAGCACCCAGGCGTTCGGGGGTCCTTACTGCCGTCTGCCTCTTCCATGGCCTCGCTGAAGGGCTTAGAGCTGAGCCCGGAGCCTTGTCCTTTCCTGGCAGGGAGCACCGACCGACAGCGGGAATGCTGAAGAAAGCGCTGAGGCCAGCTTGGGGAGGGACAGTCTGGGGCGCGAAGCTTAAAGGTGAACCGGTGGGGCCGACTGGTTGCTGGGACTAGTTAGTGAGGCCAAGGCAGAGAAAGAGAACCTGTCCCGACTGCTACATGCGACATTCCAGGATTCGGGTTGGAAAGAGAAAGCCAGGAGCCTCAGGTTCGTAGTTCCTGGTCTATGCTTTACCGCCACTAAAGTGTGTGGCGGAGCTCTCGGGGCTGGTGGCTTCCATCCTGCACGGCCCCAGGTGTCGCCCCATCCTGCGCAGTTGCCCCCGGGGTATGGAAGGCGCACAGGCGCCCCCGGCCCATCGCGCTCTGCCCTCTGCCCCCTCGGCCCACGCACGCAGTGGAGCCGCCAGCTACCACGGCAGAGGGGAGAGGGGAGGCGGGTAGGGAGGGCGGCACCGTCACCCGGACGGGCGATCTGAAGCTGCCAATCTCACTGCTCACACCCCCTTCCCCACTGGCGCGGGAGCCTGGCAGCAACGCTCGCCTCCCCAGCTCCCACGGTGAGGGGCGCACCTGGTGGGGAGTGGGTAAATAATTGGCCAGAGGCCTGGCTTCCCGATTCTCCCTCCACTTCCAGCGGCCCGACTGCTCCCGGGGCGACGCAGCCCCTCGGGAACCTGAGAGCAGGTAACAGGACCCCCGCCCCATCCCGTGTCCGAAACGCTTTGCTGCCAGCTTTGAGTGCGAGTCCTCTTCAGGAACATGAATCGCCTCCCACCCCCTAGTAGGGGCCTGAACTGGAGAGAAGCCCCGGGCCCGCGCTCCGATCCGTTCGGGGACGCCGCCCTGGAACGCAGAAGCCTCCCGATGCGCCGGGTCCGGGGTCCCGCTCGCGAGCTGGAGAGCGGAGGAGCCGTCCTGAGGGGAAGCAAGTGGGAGGGGGCGGATGAGCCACGAACGGCTTAGCCCACTTTTCCCGCAGGACCTACCGCCCACTCGCCGTCTATGCAGGCACCAGCTGGCGGCAGCATCTTTTAGGTTCACCCTCCTGGAAGGCAAAGGCCAGACGCCCGGGCGGGGCGGCGCACGGTGGGACTACAGCCCCCGCTCCACTCCCGGCTGCGCCCGGCTCCTGGACGCTCTGGCTTTACGAGGTTCGGTTACCGCCGAGCCCTCCATTAACACCTCCTCTGATTACTTAGGGGGCTGCAGGGGCTGAACGCAGCCTCAGAGCGTGTCTGGGGCACGGCCCGCACCAGACCCTCCGCCCTGTGCTCCCTCCTCCTCCGTCCCAACTGAAAGCATAAACAGAAAATAAAAGACAGGTGGAGGGAGCTGAGGGTCAGAGGTGAGGCGTTCAGGTCAATTCTGATGGGGGGAGACGAACTTCCATCCAGCGCTCCTCGGTTTATTTATCTGTTTGCATTAACAGAGGGACCTTTGGCGAGACTGGGGACTGGCCCGCATCCCTGGCCGCCACCTCCCGCCCTCCCTGGGCCTAAACCAAACTCCTGGGGGGAAACAGCTGACATCTGGACATCAAGGTAAGAAGACCCCAATAGAGGTGGCGGAGCCGGGGCTTCGCTGTGCCCGGAGCGCGCCCGGACGACCGGGCTTCTCGGGAGCCCCCAGTAAGGCCCTGCTGTGCTCCGGCCGCGTCGGTGCCCGGGGTCCCCGCGGGACGGGTGGTTCCCATCGCCTGGCAGATGGGAGGAGGTGTTGCGGAGCCCGGCCCGCACCGCCTGGCTGACGCTCGGTGTTTCCCCTGTCAGTGCAGCCACAGTTCGCAGCGCGATCCGCTCCCTGCGCGCAGAGAATGCTGAACGGCACCACGCTAGAGGCAGGTGAGTGCAGCCCCAGGCTCCTCGTTTTCCCCGCTCCTTTCCTTGGGCCGGCTTGCACATCGTGTGTGTGTGCGTGCGCGCGCGTGTACCCGTGAGTGTGCCTTCGTGGAGCCAAACGAAGAGAACTGTGTGTGCCTTAAAATGTAAACGCTTACGAGGCTCCAATACAGAGTCTGATTCAGATTCTCCCGACAGAGCGGGCTCCTGAAAGCTGAGTTTTCTTCCTTTTGCTTCTCCCTTCACTGTCTGGGCCTTTCCTCAGGATACGGGTCCGGGGTCCCGGGCCGGACGGAGGTCCCCGAGCCCCGAGCCTGCGGTGGCTGCGGCGCAGGGACGCCCCTCTGACCGCGGAGCTGCTGTGGGCGTCTCCTTGCTGGAAACCAAAGCGGACTGGCAGGAAAGACTCCCTTTCCCACCCTTCTAGGGTTTAACTGCAAACTGCCTTCGCTCACATTTTTTGTTGTTCGAGCCTAATCCAGAGCTGCCGTTTCTGCGCGGGGTCTCAGAAGCGCCGTGTAGGATTTGCTCTATTTTGGGGAGGGCTGAGGGCCAGTGTTGCAGCAAATATCAGGCAGATATCAGAAGCGCGATATTCTAGACTCGGAGGCCGAGCTGTTGGAGAAAAACTCCGGGGCCGAGGAGAGCACAGACTTGAAGGCAGCAAGCAGCTGGGGATTGGCGCTGCGCACGCGGAGGGTGTGTGTGGGCCGGAGCTGGTACCCGGCCCTGCAGGGCCCCGACCCGGGAGTCCGGCGGAGCGAGCAGCTCCTGGCGGGGCGCAGCTGGGACGCGGCCGAGAGTCCCCCTCTCCGGGAAATCGCGCTCCCGCTGCCCGGCTCCGGGGGAGGCTTCCCGAGCACATCCGAGGTGCGCCCCTGCGACTGCACCAGTCTGGATTTACCAATTGCGGTTTGGGAAATCTTCTCCTTGTTAAGAGGAAGGCCCGCCCGGCGCCTCTTGGCGGCCCTCTCATCTTTCAGCCCAGCGCAGGCTGCATGTTCAGAGCCCTGTGGCGCCGGGTTAAGGGCGCGGTTCCTAGCCCACGACGCTGATTTTCCCAGGCTTTGGCAGTGCTCCTGAAAATGCCAAAAGTTGGACAAGATTTCAAGCGCTGTGCCTTTTAGACCACAAGGGCTCTTACTAGGGGCATGGGATCATGGCCTCCAAATTCAGGTCTGGTCTAAAGCAAACTTGAGTCACCTATGTTATCAAGAGATGCACATTTGCAGTTGCTCCAAAGTGCCATCTGGTCCCTGGGCAAAGCCCTGCAACCCCTCTGGGGACAAAAAGCCATGCAAACCCCCTCTGGGGAGTTTGCCTGGGCCTGGGCACTTTCCCCAGGTGGCACAGCCTGGGGTGAGGCTGACCCCAGAGGAAATTCTAGATTCCGGAACTCTCAATCTAAAATCCTCTACTCCACTGGAGTTTGGCCTCTTTCTCTGTTCCCTGAAAGTGCCACAGTAGCCACTGGGGGCTGGCGCAGCAGAGAGGAAACAGAGCCCAGTGGGTCGCATGTGCCCCTGGCTTTACAGACGCTTTCAATCCAGGGGGCAGCCCCTCCCCCGCCTGCCTCCTGCACCTGTCCCACTGACAGGATGGGACTTAGGGACTTAGCCCCGAGTACTTGGCCCAAGAAGTGGGGTGAGCACTCTAACTTTTTAGAGAATGCTTGCAGGTCTTTCAGCCCCATTCTGGGAGAAAGGGAATCATTTCCTTCTCCATCCTCAGCCTCTCCAATGAAAAGGTGAACCAAGGCAAGGAAACAGAGATGTTCTTATTTACAGTGCTTGGTGTCCTTTGAGGGTCGAGGGAGAGGGGCAGGGGGAGGAGGAAGAGGAGGGAAGGGCCTTTAAGCAGTCCCTCAAGGCTCCTAGGCATAAAGGTTAGGACACCTCAGGTCACACACTCGGTTCCGTTCAAGAGTCACCCCCCCATTCCATCCCCTTGGCTGCTTCTTCAGGAACTAAAAGGACGGGGCTAAACAGTGAGGGACTATTTCCACAAGACTAGCAAGGACCTGCCAAACTCCAGCAGACCCCAGCCCCACACCCAGCTCTCCGAAGACTTCCTGCTTCCACTGAGCAGCAAGAGTCCTGGCAGTTCCCTGTCTTACGGGAAGTAGCAAATCCCAAGGGGCACATGGAACTGGTACCTGAAGTTTTAGAAGAAAGCAGTCATAGCTAGGTTTCAGCTGGGAAGCTGATTGCACGAGGTACGAGGCCTGATAGACGATTTTAAAATATGTGTGGAGTGGATGAATGAATGAAAGATTGGAAGGCTTACAGCACTTCTGAACTTGGCTTCCCTGGAGACGCTCTAGAAAGTTCTGTCTTTTCCAAGAGTTGTTTAAGCTTTCCTTTCAGGAAGTGCTCAGAGTTTCATCTCTTACAAGGAAAAAGTGGTGTTCCTGTTTTTTGTGGTTTTTTTGGTTTTTTTCTATGTTTGCTGAGGAGGAGCAAAAGACAACCACCAAACTTAATTGTAAATACCTTATTTGAGAGTGGGAAAGGGTTTAGCACAGACACTAGACAAAGTGGGCTGAGGTCTGTATTTACCTCTCCTCCCCCACCCCTCTCCCTCCCAGGCACTGAGTGAGTGAACTGGTGGCTCCTGGCGGGCAATCTGCCCCTTTGTGAGAGAACCTGCTGTCTCTGAAAGGGCCCAGCCCTCAGCCCCTCCTTGGGGCCCTTCCTGTGTGCACGTGGGTTTGAAAAGCTCATTGATTCCCATCCAAAGGGGCTAATTACATTACTTACAGTAAATAGCCGCCCTGCTGTCAGGTAGAGCTGCCAAAGAGTGTATGGGGGGGGGGTGTCACCAGCTTAGTTCACTTGATTGGCTTCATTTTTGTGTGAAATTGTGTTTTATGAGCTGTATTCTGGCACCCAGAGGACCTTACGAGTGGCCAGTCTGCAAATAACATTATTTCGGACCCTGAGGAAGGAAAAAAAAGGGTGGGCGAGGGAAGCAGTAGAGGCTTGGGTTTCCTGGAAGAGGCAACTCCAGCAGCTTTAGACGGAGACGCTCCGGGACAGGAAGTCACGCTGCTACACCGCGGGAGGCTTCCCCTCCCTTCCTCTCCCTCTTCTTCCCCTCCCGCCTGTCTGCCTGCCTTCCTTCCTTCCTTCCTTCTTTCCTTCCTTCCTTTCCCTTCGCACTCTTACGCTTCCTTTGCCTTCCTTTCCCCCTCCTTCTTTCTTTCCCTTGCTTCTTCTCTCCTTTCATCTCTTCAGATTTGGCTACAGTTCCGCCTGGGGCTCCCCCGGGCGGAGGGAAGCGGGTCTGCGGCTGGGAGGCCCCTCTAAGTTTCCAGGGTGTCAGGACGAAGCCCTGGGTGATCCAGGGGAGCAGAGAGCTCTCGGACTTCCTTTCTCTCTGTTTAAAGCAGAGTCGGTTCCTGTCCCTGCCTCTGGATCCAGCCCCTCCTGGGCCTCTGGCTGTGTGAATGAATCCACAATATCGGGGTATTGTCACTTTTTAACAGGGCCAGGGAGGGGCCGAGGCTAGCAGGACCGGAGGGCGACGGAACAACCTCGCCTCTTGTGGGAACCAGCCCTGCCATTCTGCTCGTCATTTCTCATCTTCTCTCCTCCACGACGAGGCGCCCCTTCACAGCCCCCCCCCCCCCGTGCAGGTCGCCCAGTGCTTCAAGTCCCCTGTCCTGAGAGGGTAGTGGGGACAGCATGCCATGGGGCCAGCGCCTGGACCTGCAGGGGCAGATGCCAAGTTCGTCGGAGCCCTTGAGTCGCTTCCCACGTGGACAAGTTTCAAATGGGAGGCTAGAATCTGCAGCAGTTTTCTTCAGACTTGAATGGGTAGGGCTCAGTTGCATAATCACGTCTACAAGTCCACGTCCTGTCCCCTATAATCTAATTTTTCAAATAAGAAAATCTTTTTTGGCACGCTCCGGAGTCTGTGAGGGTCGCAGGCCTTCAGTGAGGTGAGGCAAGAGGCGAACTGAACCGTCAGCTGCTTTTCAAAAGTGAGTTGAGGAAGAGGGGATGGGGAGGAAAGGAACAAGCGTTCAATTCTCCGCCTCAGTGAACTGCTTGAATGTCTGCACAGCCTTTAGATATTTTGGGTGATCGTCCCGTAGGCTGGGGATGGAAAAAGTCGACAAGGAGGAAACTAAGTTTGCAGTTGATACTCTGTATTCGCTGAGCCAGGGTCTTATCTTGAACTGGGATCAAATAGACCGGCTCTCGGCCTCCTGCGTCAGGGCGCAGACAATAAGGGCTCCTTTCCTCTTTTAAAACAAAGACTCCTTTTCCCCTTTAAAGCGTGACTGCTGAGAACTCTTGGAAGGATACGTGGTGGGGGGGGGGGCGTGAGCGCGCGCCTTTCCCTGCGCGCACACGAGCGTATTGTGGGGAGGCAAAGCCCCCTCCTACTGCCTCTCCCCTCCATCCCCCCACCCCTTTGTAATGTTTGTCCCTGCTTGCCCATCACCAGGGGGTTGAGAGGAGTATGACAGGTCTTTGTTGTCTGAATAAAAATCCGTGGCAGCTCCAGGGAGAGAACTCCTCCTACTAAATTATCAAAAATGGGCTGGCTTTAGTCTCTTAACAAATTGGACTCAGCTCCGGCAGGAGCAGTCCCCAACCCAACCTACAGGCACTGCGAACTTGAGCAGCCAGGAACCGCTGAAAATAGCACTTCATTTTCTTTCTTTGTGTTCTAAACTATTTTCTTTCTTCACTAGATTTTTTGTTTTCTCCCCCCCCCCCCCGCAGTTGTTTCCCATTAGTAACTCGATCTCTCTCTCACAGCAGCAAAGATTCGCCTTCTTCTTCGCCCCCTTTCCCCTCAGCCCGTGTTTGTTTTCTGCACATCTCCTTCAGGGAGCCGCTAGAGCTTTACCACCCCCTTTTGTCTTTTCCTCCCCACACAGACCTATTTCCATTCCGGCTGCCTCTGTCTTCTCGCTTTCTTCCTCTTGCGCTCGGCCCCTGCGCGTCTCTGCGCTCCTCCGCCGCCCAGCCCTCTGCGGTCCCGGGGCTCTTCCACTCGGATGAGCTGAGGGCCCCGGGCGTGTGTTTATGGAAATAGTGGGGTGCCGAGCAGAAGACAACTCGTGTCCTTTCCGCCCCCCAGCCATGCTCTTCCACGGGATCTCCGGAGGCCACATCCAAGGCATCATGGAAGAGATGGAGCGCAGATCCAAGACCGAGGCCCGTTTGGCCAAAGGCGCCCAACTCAACGGCCGCGATGCGGTAAGGATGGGCCCTCCGCGGCAGCCGCCGCAGCCCTGCGCGCAGTTCAGCCGAGCTGGGTTCCCGGCCACCGCGGTGGGGCCTGGCGTGCTGTGGGGACAACTGCCGAGGACGTCCTCGGGGTTTTCTCACTCCCGCCTGGGTTTGCGTTAAGGCTCCTTCTCTGACTTCCAGCGTCCCTGCTCCTAAAACCCCAAGCTCCTTACCCTGCGCAGCAACTGTGCCCCAGCAGGCTGGGTGAGCCAGGAGCGGGAGGAGAGGGGCCTCTTGTGCAGACCTCAAACTCCAGTCTCCAGTCTCCCTAGACTCGGGGTCCGTCCTTGGCGAGGATCTGCAGCCACAGCCCAAGCGGGGCGTGTGCGATAGGAAGACCTGGGCCAAGCAGGAGCCTGGTGGCCTCAGTCTCTGGGCCTGAGGAACGGATCTTTGGAGTGGACCTAGACGTCACTAGGCCATTTCCAGTTCTCCGAACGCTTGGGGTTTGGCGTCCCAAACCCAGAGATTTTCAGTCCTTGGCACCGCAGCAGTTTTGCCTTTAGTTCGCGGGGCGGCTGGTAAAGTGTACGGGGGGGGGGGGGAGTCAAAGAAAAATTGCGGAGGAGCGGGGCACCTACTCCAAATGCAAGAACTTTCTAACCTTTAAACAAAGTAATCAACTGCCACTGTTACTTACTCGCAACAGTAAATGTCATGTCCTCTTAAAGACTTGGTCATCCAAGTGCTTCCCTTTCCCACTTATGAGCCAGAGGGAAAGAACTACGGAAGTGTCCGGAAATGACTCCAGCCAAGCAGTGCTGCGTGGCGTGGACGCTCCGGTATCACAAGGGGAATCGGGGCTCAACTTCCCCGGGGGACCGCCTTGGCCGGGTCTGGCGGTGCTAGATAGCCGAGTGGGTAGACGTACCTTCATTTGCGTCGTGAAGCCAGGGCAGGTATCTAACCCGGGTAAAGAGCAAAACTTTACTTTTCTAGGCCCGCCAAAATTTCTTGAGGAATTTCAACCCACGTCAGGTAGTTTTGAGTGCAAAGCTTAGGGATAAACTTGTTTCCCCTTTTGTGGTTATTCTGTTTAAAAATAAAAGGCAGCAGCCAAACCTGGTGCTGGACTCTTCAAGGTGAGACTTACCTTCCTCGATGCGACCCTGATGGAAGCTTCATTTCGGCACCAAACAAGATTTTCCAGGATCAGGATTTTCGTGTTTACGCTGATATCCGAGAAAGAGGGGCTGTACAGAAACCAAGAGCCCTGATAATTAGCGAGCAGAAGGATCTGCCACTTACATCCCCATCAAAACAATGCCGATCAAACTGTGGGCACTTGATTAAACACTTCCCTTGATTTTGATTTTAACGCTGCCTAAGCAAAGCTAAAGACAGAATTGTAAGTTTTGGTGTAAAAAAATTTGAGCTAGTTCAGATTTCCTTTCCACTCCCCAATAAGATTACATTATTTTATTTTCTGTATTTTTGAAGCCACACTATTCAGCTTGTAAGTATTCTACTTTGGGGAACACCTATCAGACTACTGTCAGTAGGCTCTCAGGCTGCCTAGTGTTTGAGGGATGCAAACGCTGGTTCAGACAGGCACCGCAGTGGCGAAGGAGACGTGGCAAAGGTTTTCCCCCGTCTGCCCCTGCATGTGGCTCCGGGCCGCGCTGCCTGGGATCCCGCGTGGTGCGGCGCCGCGCTCTGCCTCCTCAGCCCGGCTGTGCTCGCTTTGCAGGGAATGCCCCCGCTGAGCCCGGAGAAGCCCGCTCTGTGCGCGGGATGTGGGGGCAAGATCTCCGACAGGTACTACTTGCTGGCCGTGGACAAGCAGTGGCATCTGAGGTGCCTGAAGTGCTGTGAATGTAAGCTGGCGCTCGAGTCTGAGCTCACCTGCTTCGCCAAGGACGGCAGCATTTACTGCAAGGAGGATTACTACAGGTAAGTGCTGCTCACCCCAGTGCGCAGGCAGGGCCACCAGCCCAAGTTCAGTTCCCCTCCCGGGGACCCACCTCTGCGGTAGAGTTGTCTTTTCCCAGAGCAGGGAAAGTCACTGCGTTTGCCTTCAAGCCGTGGTGGTCTTCTGGCAGGCGGTGAGGGAGGCGTCCAAGGCCCAGAGGCTCCCAGCTAGGTTGCCAGATTCTGAAAAATCTGAGAATCTGAGAAAGAGTAATCTAACCCCCGACCGAGACTTGAGTCCGTTGTTTCCTGCCCTCCCCGCTTATTTCGAACTGAGAACTTGAGCATCTTGGAACTGAACTGGCAGCCTAGGCAGTAGCGGGTGGTTGGCTTGGGTGGCAGCTGACCTTGTAAATGGCTATGAAAAAGAGTGACCTCCACTGCCCAAACCCAAGCCTCTCAGTCCAGGCTTCCCTTTGCTGTTAGTTCGAACCAGACTAGAAAGAAAACTCAGCTGCAGAAGTGTTTATTGATTCTTCTGAACTGGGAAAGACAGAACTGTGTACAGGTGACCTAACCACTCTCAGCGGATGCCAGAGAAGTGGTTAAAGAAGAAAAATCTTTCCTCTACAACACTGTCCTTACCCAGCCCTGACTGTTGTGAGGCGCATTCAAACGTCTAGGAATATCTTCCTTCACAGAACATTTTATAGTGAATGAAGTTGTTCATTTTGGCATTGCAATTGAATGTTTTCCATAGCTCTGTGAATTAGATACTGCAGGGGGTTTTAAAAACATTTTTGTAGAGAAAGAAACTGAAGCTCAGCACCTAGTTCTTCCTTTACTGTAAGGATATTTGTCCCGGTTCTCTAGAACCAGAAGAGGTCAAATGAGCAAATCAAACTAATGTCCAAAGTGTGTCCAAGTGTCATGAGCTCCTGGAGCCCTCCTGTCTCAGCCTTTGGCTGTGGCAGACCAAACCCAGGTACTGCGCGGTGGGAGATGGCCCCTCCTTGCACAGACCTTCCTTGCAGAACCCTGACCCTTCGGTTTCCTTCCAGAAGGTTCTCTGTGCAGAGATGTGCCCGCTGCCACCTTGGCATTTCTGCCTCCGAGATGGTCATGCGCGCCCGAGACTCTGTCTACCACCTGAGCTGCTTCACCTGCTCCACCTGCAACAAGACTCTGACCACGGGCGACCATTTCGGCATGAAGGACAGCCTGGTGTACTGCCGCGCCCACTTCGAGACCCTCTTGCAAGGAGAGTATCCACCGCAGCTGAGCTACACGGAGCTGGCGGCCAAGAGCGGCGGCTTGGCCCTTCCTTACTTCAACGGAACCGGCACCGTGCAGAAAGGGCGGCCCCGGAAGCGGAAGAGCCCGGCGCTGGGAGTGGACATCGTCAATTACAACTCCGGTGGGTCCCTGCCCCTACCCACCCGGGCACCCCTTGCCTGTCCAAGATCTGGCTGCAAGAGGATGCTGTCCTCAACGTGGCCCTGTTCTCACTCTAACTCCTTCTCGGTGTGAAGAAAGAAAGAAGAGATATAGAGAAAGAGGGGAGAGGGGAGACCACACTTTATTGAGGTTGTGGCAGAAAACACATTCAAAACCATTGGGCTGCAGTGACTTCCCTCAAACAGGCAGAGCCAAACCCTGTTTGTCCATTAGTTAATGAGGCCATTAGTTTCTGGCTCCCAGTTGGAGCAAAACAGCCCCAGGGCAATTCCTTTGTGGAAGCCAAATTATAGATCCAGAAGGAGGTTTTCCTAAATACTGAAGGGGTGGGGTGGGGGGGAACTTCAGAGCCCAACCCCAGTCTGCCCAGAGGGGGCAGAGACTGCATTCACCAGCCCAAAGTTAATCAGCAACACAGTAGGCAAGAGAGTTGAAAAACTGACTCCCTGATCTTGGCGAAAAGCAGCGGTAGGGGCAGGAATCTCTCCACTGCTGAGCTGGCCTGTGGCTCTGGTAGGTCAGGATGTCCATCCAGCCCACTCATTCCCCATGTGTCAGAGCATCCAGACTTCCAGACCCAGGCCAATTGACAGAGACTCCAAGCCAGGCCCACTGAGGAAGCTTAGTGGGATCTCATGCTGCTCTTTTGTCCTCCAGCAGCCTTCTCTTAATCAAAAACCAAGTGCAGGCAATAGCCTGAGAGTGCAGGTCCTTCCTTTCTGTAGGGGACACACCTATCATTTACCAATCTGTTTCACACTCATGCATCTATTTCCCATTGTTTGGTACCCAGTCCCCACTTCCCGTCTTCTAGGTAAGGATGTTGACAGGCCTTAGGGACCATAATCTTACTCTAAGACAGAAGCTCCTCTAGTGAATCCCAGTCCTTGGGAAAAGATTAAAAGCCCTGGCTCACTTTGGGGACCTCACCTGCTCTGACTTCCCATGCTCTGGCCCAGACCTGTTTGAGAATCTCAACCAGCAGGAGACCCAGGCCAGGGGAGACCATTCTATAGGAAGGGACCCTGGGGATCACTTTATTGTGGCAACTCTAGCGTCACCATGAGCTCCTCAGATGCCTTGGCAAGGCTTGGGTATGGGTACCCCACAGCACATATTGTGCCTGTTTTCTCTTTCAGTTCCCAGTGTCTGGCATAATGTATGATATTGTTGCCGAGTGATAAAGAAACACCGTCTAGCCAGTTAAGTGATCCACCTAAGGTCACACAGCCAATGTGAATGGAGGAACTAAGAACTCTTCTCTAAGTGGAGAGTTTTCAGAGCAAGCCTGTAGGATGAGCAAGCACTCTCTAGCCCTCTGCCTAGGTTTTCTCCCTTCTGAATCAGATGAATGAATTCTGGACAGTCAAAGCAAGTAGCCCAGCGAAGCTGCATTTGTCCTTAGCAGGTTCATGCTAGAGTGGCCGGCTGAAGAGAAAAGGGCGGGCCGGCTCCATACAGCCTTCACCAGAGTCAGTTTGTGTGAGGGCAGTAGGCACAGCCTTGGGTTTAACCCTGAGCAGAAGCAGCCACAGCAGGCAGCTGGGCAGCGCCTTCTCCCTAGCTCCTGCTGCGCTGGGTCAGTGGCTTGGTTAGGGGCCACTTTGCACAGCACACTTACTTCATCTCCTTTGATGCATGGTCCCCAGGGCAG